TGGGAGATGAACCCAAATTGATTAACAAACCAGTCATTATGTAAGGTACTAACTAATATGACTATATATGTTTTACCTAATTAATTAAGACAAAAGTTCTTATTTTGTAAACAAATTTACTATATAATAACAATAAGCATATCATATATATATATATATAAGACAAACTTTTTTCCAAGTCTTAAATAGAAAATGGAAGATTTGAACCCTACACACCACACAGTCATCTGAATTGTAGTGCGGTCATCAAATTTTTCACTTTTAAGTTTTTACCGTTTAATCAATATACACCTTAAAAATCAGATAGCAAATTAAAATGAAATTGTGTGTATAATGAATCTATCATTGAAAAACATAGAATATGAATGAACATACACACACTAGTATTGATTAAATCCACTAGAAAAAAGAAAAAAGGTGTAGCTAGATTCCTTTACAATCTGGTCCATACACACGTCATAGTTTTTTGCAGTTCGCCAGCATTATTAGGCCAATAGAATCTACATTCCATCTCACGCGAATGCGCGTGTTTCTGTTTTGGCTCATTATAAGATTTAAAAAAAAAAAAAGAAAGAAAAAAAGAAGATAAAGCAAGCATACGTACAAAAGTGAACATTCAACAATTTTGAGTGCAGCTAAAGATGGTAATCCTATTCCTATCAAATTGTTTTGAGTTTTGACTGACAAATAAAAAAGAAAAATATACTACATATGGGTTTCAAGACTCACGCTTTTGGTGTTGGCCAAGAAAACATCACCCTTATTTTACCATCTCCATTTGGCAAAATATCATGAACCTTCTTCTTTTTGGACACTTTTACTTACATATATTCACTTACACTTTTTTTAAATTTTTTGAAAAATACAATATTCAAAATAAAAGTATATATAAATAGTCATAAACGAGACATAAACCAAAAAATAATACAATATAGAAATCAATGACATAAATAAACCATAAATCAACCATTTATAAATACTAACTAGTACAGAGCCCGTGCGATACACGGGGTGCACAATTTTAAGGTTATTTATCCAGACTTATAATTATATACATGAATAAAGAAAAATATACGGGATATATATAGTACGTGCGAAGCACGAGATATATTTATTTGGAGAATATTATATTATAAGATGCAATATTCAATAAAAGTTTATAATACGCAAGAAATTGTACAATGTTCAATAAAAGTTTTATAATATTCAAGTGGAGTCTTAAAGTCTCTTGTACATTAAGACTACTGACAAATTAATATTTTAATCAATGAGTTTCCTTTCCTTGTAGCCAAATTGTGAATGTGATTTGAGGAGTACAACAAATCGATATATAGCTGACTTGTTTTTTTCATTGTAGTTTTTTTTTTCTTTTTTTTTTTATAATGAATTTAAAGATATTCTAAAATATAGCAAAAATTAATTTT